AGTGTGATGCCCCAAAGATAACATGAAGTTATGATACATATAAACTGAGTTACGGAAGTTAAGTTAAAGTTTTGTTAACCTATGGTACAAGAATTGTATCTTAAGTTAAAATTTCGATAGTTTCTAAGGGCTTTTTTGGGGGTTGTTTTTTTAATTTTATAGCATTGTTTTTTTTGCGTGTTTTTTTCACCCAGGAATATGTTGCGTTTTTGGCCGTGAAATACAATGTTTTTCATGGCAAGAAAATAACCGTATCGCTTTCAGGGGCGGTCCATGCCGGTACGTGCAGTTGTACAGGAAACACAAAGAAACACATTTTATACACATACGCGTTTCCTTATCTGTCCAGCCTCCCTGATGGAAACACATACGCGTTTCCTAATGCGTCCGGGCTCAAAGATTCAAACAAATACGCGTTTCCACGGCATTTTGCTATTCCTTGGTGGAAACACACGCGGTTCCCAATCTGTAAAGGAAACACATTGAAGATAGGGATTATCATCGTGGAAGTGGAAACACAATTTAAACACATTGCGTGTTTTCATGCTACCGGGTGCTTTGAGTGTGGAAACACATGCGCGTTTCCATGAGATTTCTACTTTGTGATGGGAAACACATGCGCGTTTCCATGATTTTTCTGATTTTGGATGGGGAATACATGCATGGTTTCTACTTTTGGGGTGCTATGTGCGGAAACACGTGCGCGTGTCCGGATCCATGTCCTTCACAGGTTCGGCAAACTTCTGTTTTTGCGCAGCCGTGTTTTCTGCCGCTGCCATGACGTTGCGGAGAAACTTTCCCGCTGCGCACTGAAAAAGTGTCATGGCACACACCAATCAAAATCAACAGAATAAAAAACTAACTTGTGTGGCTTCTGTAACTTCATTTTATCTTTTTTTACTGGCATGACCTAACTTGAGATACATCTCCACATCTCATGTTACACAATCAACTTATATAAGTCATCGAAGTTAGCTTATGTTGTAACCTATGTTACCCCATGTTATATTAATAAATCATCTTACATATTCTTCATACGAAGTTGCATCTGGGGGGCCTCACAATGTATACTGTGTACATGTAGCAGCGTGTAATCTCCGCCTGGCTTTGGCACGAGCTGGGGCGGTGCCCAGGCCACAAAGCTTTGCTCCTCCGATTCAGGGCCAAACTTCTTTCATTTCTTGGCGTTCAGCTGTGACGCCACAACCCTCCGGCCGTCGCGATGCCAATCGACGGCCGGTGAGGTTTCTGCCAAGGGTCGCCAGGTTTGTCAATCAGCCCCAGACAGGCCCGGGCTTTCAGAGGACATGAGAAGTTTCGATACCGCGGGGAAGGGGGGTCGGCAGCACCAGGGCGTTGAACCGTTCTATCATGCAATGCAATGCAATGCAATGCAATGCAATGTATGATTGTGTCGTGTGTGTGTGTGTAGATAGATCTTTGCATTCCACAGTACGTCAATAGATGAACATTTAATCATCTTACAGTTGACTATACTCCAGCATAGCATAGAGTTGGATAAACCAGTCTTGTTTCAAATTGCAAGACCAGTGCTGTTGTGCTTCAACACTTGGGCATGCTTCTCCCTCTACAAGTTTCTGATAGGCATGGCTCAACGCCTATGGACCCACAAAATTCTGCATGTCTGGAGATGCTAGTGACATGCTTGGTCGAATGAGTGACTTAGTAATCCCAGATGCCCATAGTCACCCCGAAAAAATTCTACCATCCACTTTGACACGTCCAATGAATCTCATTTCCCAAATCCCAAAAAAAATAAGTCAGTCAAAAAAAAACAACGGCGCTGATCTGTCTCCGAGCAGCGTCCAGTCCATCTAGCTCCACCTTTGAGGTGAAGCTGTCACGGCTGTCACGCGTCGTATTGGTGCTGCTTCCCATCCGATATTTGAAGACCTGGCCATGGGTCAGTGTTCTTTTGGGAAACCATGGGAAACCCATAGACTGTTCACACCACAATAGCTATACATAGGCTATACGGCTATACGAGCTATAGGAATTGTGACTCAAAAATGAACATTCAGATTCCTGTCAGGAATAAATGAGTTTTGGGAAAATTAGTGATTGCAACTCCCCATTTCGGTGAGTGCCCAATCGTTTTGCGTCCTTTCAACTTTTGTTTCGAGAATACCGTGGCTAAACACCCTGAAAAGCAGCAGAAGCAGTGGAGTATCTCTCCTGTATAAGCTGATATAAGCTGATATGCTTAGTTTTGGCCAGAACCACTCTTGCAGCTGACTTCCGGCTTTGGTGACACTAGATTCACTGGAGTAAAAGGTGCGCATTGAAACCCGTACCTCGTCATAGTCGTCAAAGGTGCACTCGAGAGAATGAGACTGCTGATGCTTCAAAATCTGGCAGCGTGGGAAGTGGCCTTTCATTTTTCAAAACAGTGTCCAGCATCTTACGCCTGTGCAAAATCTGTTGCAAAATTGGTGCACCAAAGAAAGGGAACACAAAGTTGGTCCCTTTGGCTTGTTTCACTGTCATTGGGGGTTGACACGTCACCAAGGCATGATTTTCTTAGGGACTGGAGTCTCTATGCTAAAAACGTCTAGCTAGACATGGCTGCCCACAGTCGACGCCATGGTGTTCTGATGGCTTGAATTAAACCAGAACGAACCACACGCATATACTCTACATAGTATCGCACCATGCCTCATCCTGGGAACCAACTGGGAGCCATGAAATGCTAATAAAAACAAACGGCTGATTCAGTGTGGCAAACTAAATGGCAAGTGCGCTTGCCTCTTGTAGAGGCTTGAACATAATCGCAAAAGCAAAAATTCAGACACGGAATCTTTCAGGGAAAGTAAGGGCAAGAATTAACCCACCCAACAGCAGTGAGGATTCCAAAGTCAAGGTGAGAAGGTCCTCGATTAGCATCCATGTTTGGGCCACATTTTGACTCCCAGTGTGGAGACAAAGTGGGAGACAAACTTTGAGACAAAGCGGGACACAAAGTGGGGGAAACAAAGTCGGAGACACAGGGGGAGACAAGTGCGAGGTGGGAAACAGAATCGGAAACAAGTGGGAGACAAAGTGGGGAGACAAAGTGGGGGACACAGCGGGAGACAAAGTGGGACCCAAGGTGGGAGAAATAAGAGACAAAGTGTGAGACAAAAGGGGTGACATAGTGGGTGACAAGCTGGGACACAAAGTGGGAGACAAAGTGGGAGACAAAGTGGGGGACACAGCGGGAGACAAAGTGGGGGTCAAGCTGGAAGACAAAGTGGGACCCAAGGTGGGAGAAATAAGAGACAAAGTGTGAGACAAAAGGGGTGACATAGTGGGTGACAAGCTGGGACACAAAGTGGGAGACAAAGTGGGTGACATGTTGGGGGACACAGCGGGAGGCAAAGTGGAAGACAAAGTGGGATACAACGTGGGGGACAAGCTGGGAGACAAAGTGGGGGACAAAGTGATCGTGACCCACTTACTCTCTGGCAAATTTGGACAACGGAAAGTCTCCTCTTTTTGCTGCATGATGTTCTCGTTAAAAGTGTGGGGAGTCCCCATGGCTATGTTCAATCACCAAATAAAACGTTCCCTTGCATCCAAGGGCCCACAATACTATTCGGGAGTCAAGCAAATTATCCAATATCGGGAACGGGATGGATAGTCCAGGACCAAATATCTCGTAATTGCCATTGGTTTGAAAGCAAATCATTCCCTTTGAGGGAAGAATGACAGGCATCGCAAGAGTGTGGGTAAAAAGGCAACGACTAGTCACTGGTCCTTGCGACTTGCACGCAGTGCATCCTATATTTCAAAGTTCGCGGACTGTCCGCCTTCCTAATTTTCCGATATTTGTTTGGACCCTTAAATAGTTGTGGACCTTGGATACAGGGCACTTTTTGTGAGAGGGAAATCAGATCATTGGTTGAATCCCAATGTTGCTTGAACATGCTTAAACCATTTAACTTAAACCCTTTATTTTTTCTTGGTTTATCCCTAGCTACCATCGGTTGTATTCCCTGCAGCCAAGCACCTTGGAGCTTTGGGCAGAGGGTTCCTGCCGAAACTCTCAAAGTTGGGATCCAAAGGCCAGTGTTTCTCCGTTTCACCCATATATTTGAGCGGAAAAGGGCCGAATCCTGCGTTTAGGGCCTAGGGGTTCAAGTCATTTCCGGGACATCGAAACTGACAGTGGCATCTCAAACTTTTAACCAGCTCGCGCTGAATCCCACTTAGCAAGGCAGGTAGAAGCTCCAATCAACCATCATCTGTAGCTTGGCATCTTCTTATCATCCTTCATGCCACATCCTGATCTTTATTTTTTTTTCAATGAGCCAACTGATGGTATCCAAAACATTGGTTCCAGTTCCGGGGATCGTTCTGTCCTCGACACCTGGAGCTTTTGCGTGATTGCAGCCCATGTTGCTGCAGAGACACAGGCCCCACAATACAAGCCTTTTTGAACCAAAAATGGCTGAGATATTCAGAGAAGCATCCCTGAAGCACCGAAACTGGAAAATTTGGGATCTACTTGTCAGTTGAGACTTTATGAGCAAGGGTATTTTGTCGCCATGGTGTGATACAATGAACCATACAGACAAAAGTATGAGACTGGGTAATAAAGCTAAGCATCATGTTCCAATCTCAGTTGTGCATTGCCGAGCCCGAAGCATTTGCATCTGGAAGATGACTTTCGTAGCTCGTAGATGTTTGTTGATCAAGCCATTTCACATCAACTGTTGCAAACGCACACATCTATTCCATGGTGGCCCTTGAACACTGGAAGCTACCCCTAGCCGCCACCTGAATGTCCAACATGCGGAAGACTCTCTGGAGCTTTTCTTGTACCTGGACACCCGGAGACCCTGACCTATGGACCTATGGTGACAGAAGTCCACATATCTCTACATTGGGGGTCACCAAAGATTCTCCGCCTGAGATGACTCCAAACTTCGAAACCCAACCAACCACTCAATCTCCATTTCTTTCTCAAGAGATGGACTGCATAGACGTACTTGAGGTTTTCATGGACACTGAAATGTCCTCTGGAGAGGTTGTTTAGTGATCAAATCTGCCAATCTGCCACGCCTGAGATTTCCGCATGAACGCAAGGATGCAAAATAGCGTGAAACTGGAATCGCTGCAAGCAAATCAACCGCCCTCGTACTTTGATTTGGCCACGGAAGATGATTCCCCGAAATTGTGGCTTCCCAGCACGCCATGTAAGAGTCGCAGACATCCAAAAATTCAAAGCCATGACAGGTTCCCAGCCGTCCCAGCCCCTCAAACTCGCAGGCCTTTTGCCGAAAGCCTTCACCTGGGCACGATATAGATCAAAAAGGCGAGGTTTGGAGACTTCAAAGACCATGGAAAATTGGCTTTCAATATGGTTCAATGCTCATTCTACTAGAAATTCAACTTTACAGTAGAATAGAAAAGAGTCCTCCAACAAGTGAGTGCAAGAGCCAGTACTGCGCATCAGTGGTTTAGACCGAAATCCAAATTTGTCCAAGTACAACCTGATCTGGGGATCATTTTATCATTGCAATGTATAAAAAGAATGAAAAAAGTGAGATTGCGGGGTCCAAATAGTTTCAAGAAATCCCGACTTTCCACACGTTCGTGCATTTTAGCCCCATCTGACGTCAACTGTTAACTCAACAATCTCAAAATCCCCCCTCGCGATTTTACATATTTTACGGTCAAAATAGCTGTTCTTCGATATTAATCTGCTGATTTACATGGAAACAGTAGCCTTCTCTGAGCCCAGCCGGGGGCCATGCGTCTCTGAGACTCCTGGTACCAATTTTCCCAGGCAAAGATTCGATGCACCTGGGCAAAGCTTGAGTTGAGATCAAGTTCACCCTGAAAACCCTGAAAATTGGTGAGTTTTCCAGCCAAAAGCAGTGGGCACAATCTTTTTCCGATTTTACCCTTCTTTCCAGCAAAACATGTGAGCAGTGGCGGCTCCCGCGTTTTACTTTTATGAGCAAAAAAAATGTTGCCAACATCTAGCTGGTGGTAAATCCCAATCAACAACAGCATCATCCCGACATTTTTCGTTTTAGACCCCCATGTCTATGGCTTGCACGATAGCTGATTGTATTCTCATGTTTTCAGATATTCCCACCTTTGGTTGGTCAAATCCCCATTCCTGATTGGCATGTTCTCCCCATGTTGTTCAACTTAGTCCCAACCAGATCTCAGGTTCGAAAAAGTGGAAAAAGGGGAATCATTGCACCAAAACAACGATCGACTCGGCTGAATGGCATTCAAAACCCACCATGGCCCGATCAAAACCCAACGATCTTCATCTATGATTTCGTGTGGTAGGAAAACACACAACAGGAATTGTCGGAAAAAAGTCGGCACGTCCCCAAGTTCCAACGGATTATCATTTTTCCTATGAAAAATTGCCATTTTTCGGCCCCACCTCCGGCTCCAGGGCGAACTCCAAGGCCACGCGCACGATGGCCTCGTGGTGGGTTTCCTTGCGGCAATGGCGGCAATGGCGGCAATGGCGGCAATGCACAGGGCCCCAAATTGACACAGAAAAATCCAACCTGACAGGTCCAGTCTAGGATCAATTCCCATAACTCTATAGCTATCATATAGCTATCATTAATTATATAACTATCATTGATGCATGTTCACTGGGCAAGGTCACACATAGGACATAGGACCCAGAGCCCATGGCCCGCAGCTGAGGCGCCAGAAGCAGATAGAGAGCTTTGGCGCAACCTGAGGGGCTCAGCGTCCCGATGGCATGCAGCACTGTCTTGAAGTGGGTAGCTACTGGCAATCAACCTGGTCATGCAATATCATCAATTAAATAAACAATAGATAAACTATATAGTAGATGATGTATGATGATGTATATATGATGATGTATGGTGATGTATGATGATGTATGATGGTGTTCTTTTCTTACCATGAAACATGCGGATGAGCGCCAGCGTATATTGCCAAAGGGATCCAAAGGGTAACTTTGGATTGACAGGGTTGCCACGTCAATGAGGTCATCCTCCAGGTGCTGCTCTTGAAACTGAGAAACTGACCAAAAGCTTGATGGCTACCGGCAGTCTACATACTTCCACTAGATCGGCCAGGATCTATTTGTCATGCTTGGTGCTGAACAATCCAAGTTTGGGGTTGCAAATTGGAAGCCATGTCCGAATTCCAGGAAATCAACGGAAATCAGATGATCTGGATCTGCTCTCTTTCATTGTTGCTTGCATCCCCGTTTCTGCCAGCGACACTCAGGTTCTTCTACCGAGCATACGCATATATCAAAGAAAAATGACAACCCAAATTATCACCCGTTGATGGTCCTTTTCAGCAGCAATCGTTCCCCACATGGATGTCCATCTCCTACTAGCCCCGAAAAAAGGTCAAGAAGCAATAAGAAGCAATAGCTTCAATAGTGCTTGGTGGTTTCAACCATTTTCCAACCCATCTCAATTCTTGGACATCAATTACAGTAGAATCATCCCATACAAAGCATGCAATCTTTTCTTGACTGTATCCCCATTTGATGATGCTTACACACCCCGTTCTTGGTGCAGTAAGCCGCCGGTATTTGTGAAGCCCCCTCATGTCGTCAGCTCGTCCAAGTAGCTCATGATGCCCTGCAAATCCGCCATGCGCGTCTTCCAATCGACCACATCCAAAACACCGCAACTGTCGCCGCAGGCCCAAGGGACCCACAAGGTCGGCTGGTCGGTTGGACATTTTCGAGTATTGAACATTGTTTCACCATGAAGTTTTCGGGGGTTGGTTAATTTGAATCTATTCCCATCTCCAAAATCAAAAGCACGGGACAAACAGTCACAAACAGAACAGGTTTTCTACTGAGCTATCCCCATCATTGGCAAGTCAAAAGCTGACAGGACAAACAGTCACCGGTCTCAACCTGCTCCCGGGGCAACTGTTCAGTCTGTTCAGGTTTGGTGCCAGTAGGCGAATATTTTTGCACAGGTGCTGTATGAAGTTGGCTTATGGTTGTGGTAAATCAACATCTACATAGATAGGATAGAATAGAATAGAATAGAATGGAATAGAATAGAATAGAATAGAACAGTATAGAATAGAATAGAATAGATTAGAAATTGAAATAGAGTTAGAATAAAATAGGATAGAATTTCAGAATAGGATAGAATTTCAGAATAGGATAGGACAGGATAGAACAGGATAGGATAGGATAGAATGGGCAGAATAGGATAGAATAGAATAGGATAGAATAGAATGGAATGGGATGGAATAGGGATAAGATCAAATAAGATCAGATAAGACCAGAACCAGATAAGATCAGAAAAAATCAGATAAGATCAGGTAAGATCAGATAGGATCAGATGAGATCAGATATAAGATAAGATATAAGATAAGATATAAGATAAGATAAAACATGAGAGATGGGATGGGATAGGGTAGGATAGGACAGGACAGGACAAACACAAACAGACACAGACGCAGATAGAGCGAGAGAGAGAGAGAGAGAAAGATAAAAAAAAGAGAGAGAGAAAGAGATACAATAAATACACATGCATGCATGTATGTAATGTAATGTAATGTAATGTAATGTAATGTATGTATTAATGTAATGTAATGTATGTATGTAATTCATGTATGTATGTAATTCATGTGTGTATTTAATTAATTATGTATGTAATTAACGTATGTATGTAATTAATGTATGTATGTAATTAATGTATGTATGTATGTATGTATGTATGTATGTATGTATGTATTAATGTAATGTATGTATGTATTAATGTAATGTATGTATGTATTAATGTAATGTATGTGTGTACGTGTGCATGCATGTATGTATGTATGTATGTATCTATCTATCTATCTATCTATCTATCTATGTATGTATGTATGTATGTATGTATGTATGTATGTATGTATGTATTAATGTAATGTATGTGTATGTAATTAATGTATGTATGTATTAATGTAATGTAATGTAATGTAATGTAATGTAAGTATGTATGTATGTATGCATGTATGTATGTATGTATCTATGTATGTATGTATGTTAGGTATGTATGTATGTAGGTATGTAGGTAGGTATGTAATGTAATGTAATGTAATGTAATGTATGTATGTAATTCATGTATGTATGTAATTCATGTATGTATTTAATTAATTATGTATGTAATTAACGTATGTATGTAATTAATGTATGTATGTAATTAATGTATGTATGTATGTATGTATGTGTGTATGTATGTATGTATGTATGTATGTATGTATGTATGTATGTATGTATGTATGTATGTATGTATGTATTAATGTATTAATGTATTAATGTAATGTATGTATGTATTAATCTAATGTATGTATGTATTAATGTAATGTATGTATGTATTAATGTAATGGATGTATGCATGCATGTATGTATGCATGTATGTATGTATGTAAGTATGTAAGTATGTCTGTATGTCTGTATGTCTGTATGTCTGTCTGTCTGTCTGTATGTATGTATGTAGGTAGGTAGGTAGGGTTGTATGTATGTATGTGTATATGTGTGTGTGTGTCTGGATCTTCCATAATTTTCATTCTGTGCTCATGATGTTTCCTTAATTTTACCATCTTGTATGCTTCCATCATCGGGTGTGCTTTCCATATCTACATTCGCTTCCCCAAGAAACAGCAGCTATTCCCCTGCCTGTCGCTAGTGCGCCGCGCCAAACGGAACTTCACGGAGGTGTCCAGCATGGCACTGTTTAAGCCCCTCTCAGTACAGATGGAGCCGTGGCGTTTGCTGAATTGTGGTGACAAGTGGTTATGGGTCAAAATGATCGAACCCAAACATGGATGGTTTAATACAGAAGAAAACCAATTGCTTGGCTCCATTGGTACCAAGATAGACCCATACCCTATGATCAAACTACATGACAGCTGACTTGCAAAAAAACGACCCAAATCTGGGGGGTCGCTGTGTCTTCAATTCTGACCAGCCAGTGGTGTGTTGGTGGCTGACTGCAACAGCTACCTATTGTAGCTGGCCCCATAAGTGCCAGTTGGCCCAATAAGTCGGCACCCCAATGTGGGGACGCTTCCGTCCAGAGTGGCATTGAGCCCAGTGCCAACCGGATCCCACTTCAATTGCACTGTGGATTGACCAACGATCATCACACCCCAATCGAAGGCACAGTGTGTACATATATATATATATATACTGTATATACTGTATATACTGTATATACTGTATATACTGTATATACTGTATATACTGTATATACTGTATATACTGTATATACTGTATATACTGTATATACTGTATATACTGGATATACTGTATATACTGTATATACTGTATATACTGTATATACTGTATATACTGTATATACTGTATGTACTGTATATACTGTATATACTGTATATACTGTATGTACTGTATGTACTGTATGTACTGTATATACTGTATATACTGTATATACTGTATATACTGTATACATTGTATGTACTGTATATACTTATAACTTTATAACCCGTCCGGAGCTGATATCTCCATCCTCCCAAGGGGTATTTTTTGATGTAGATACATTGATATATTTATAAAACTTGTTCACATTACATGCATGTACAATGCACGTATGATGTTTGTGTAACCTGTGAAATGCAGCTGGACGCATGGACACCTTTTTTGGTCCACTCCATGCTCAGCTGTGCCATTGGGGCCGTTGCTCTGAAAATCTCTCTCGGCGAAGCTGAACCTTGGTTCAGTTTCAAGGTTTTAAACTGAGGACCACAGCAATCGGAAACAGTGCCCACAAGGTGATTGAGCAGGATCAAATGCGAGCATTGCTACGTAAAACAATCAAAACTCCCTCCGATTGATTCTGATTGTCGGGAGCAAACAATGTAATTACAGTGAAATCTGAGTACAAATAGTACAGTACTTGATGGCCCAGAGCTGGCGAGAGCTTAGAGAAATGGAAAGAAGTCTGGACCAAGTGCATTTTCATGATCCAGGAGTATCGAATAAAATACCAAAAATAATCCTCAGGACTCAGAGCCATTCCTGACTTTGCAACTTATGAGCAAAATATATTTGTCTTCAATGTTTCTAAATGTAATGGATTCAATCGTGTTACCGCTGGTCTCTGCGATTCAGATCAGCCAGGGCTCTTTCGCACCAACTCCACCTGGCAAACGTCACTGTGAACCACCATGGGGGGTCCCAGTGTCAAATGGACACAAGCCAACCCCAACGAGGAAATCGAGGCACATAACGGAGCCTTGGGCTTTTCTTGCGCAGCCTTTCCGCGCCGCGCCCGGGCAGCGCGCGCTCGGCGGGCCTGGACCACTTTTTTTAAAAATGCTCTGTGGTCCAAACTTACTGAAGCCAAAGGGAATCCCACTGTTGGTCTTATGGCGGTACAGAGCGGCTTCTTTTTTTTCAAGTTCCGCAATGCTGATGGGTCCGAATTCGGATCCTAAATGGAGTCGCCATTTCGTCCCAATCAACCGATTGCTGGGCCTTCAAAGGCAAGGCATCGGCATTGGAAGCCTCCACCTGCCCCAATTGGCTTTTTGGAATCAACCAAGAGCCCATGGATTCGGCTCTTTTAGGACCTTTGCAGTATTCAACGCCAATCTTGGAACAGCCCATCAGACCTGTCAAAAATGGTGGTTTGCGTATGATGTTGCCACTGATCAAGGCCGTGACCTTGGGTTTTGTCTGTGCACCATAATCTCCTGCTGCTTCTATCCATCAGATCTGTTTTTGAGCGTTTTTGAAAGTCTCAAATTACCCCTGACAATGTACATTCCTGAAAACTACGCTGGAACCTCGAAAATGTTGATAATGTACGATCATTTTCCTATTGGAAATGCCATTCTTGGGTTCCGTATTCGCTTTTTGCGCACTTCCTCCCCCTGCCTCTGGTGGAGATTCTTCGGACTCCGAGCTCGGCACTTCCTGTGACCATCGTCAGCTTACGACGGGACGCATCATGGATCAACACCTTCCCCCTGACGAATAACGTGAGGAGAGTCAAATGAGGCTTAGATACGATATACAACGGTTTGGTAACATAATGTCATAATGTCCCTTTTTGGTGATTTTCAACAACACCTTCAAGTATCTCTTGGAGATCATATCCCCAACATTCACCAACCCCTGACCAATCCACTTCCCAGCTCCCAACCTCTGCAGGCTCTGAAATCCTGCCATCGCTGGTTGCGCCTAGCGCAGCGGCCCACTTAAATGCGCTTATCTTAGAATCTAATCATTCAAATAAAAAATAAAGACTTCATCAATAAGAACTGGAATTCGATGAATAAAATGAGATGTTCTCAATACCCAATTGCTCCGGAAAATCAAGATCAGCAAGTGGAGGTCGCCCGATAGACCTTCCGACAATCCGTATGGTTATGGCTCAAGTCATTGGGGTTCCGATCCTCAAATGTCTACCAGAATTGGATGAGTTTAAATCATTTTATAGGGTACTGTATACGCATATGCTTTGGACAATTCAGTTGAGAATATGGGATGAAGCTTGGATACAGTGCGAAATTGGATCTAAAGTAGATACTGGCGCGTGAACAAAATGGACCATTGCCTCACAAATGGACCAACAATATGGTTCATAATTCGGGGATCTCTCACGACCCGTTCAAAAGCGGAAAAAGATGGAAGGAATAAAAGCGAAAATGGATACCATGGTGAGATAGGAACTACAAGGAGGGAAAACCCGGAGGTGGCTCAGCTATTCCCAAGGTGACTCCTGCCCACAACCTCTTGGCACCGTGAAATGGCGAGTCAAAGAGATCAGACTATGTTCAAAATAATTCCATATCAGTCCTCAAAATAAGAGAATGTTCGGGTTCTTACTCCGGCAATCAAACATATATGTATAGCAACTGAAAATCCCTGAACTAAATGGAAATTTATAGCTGGGGAAGTCGTCTAGAAACGCAGGACTTTCCAGCAAGCCATGTTTGATTACCAGAGGAAAAAGTGCCTGGAAGCCCTGCAAGCCCTGTGCCTGGAATCCACGCCTTGGCACCTAAAGCTTCGCTGCAACGCAGCAGAGTCTTTAGTGCCTGCAGCAACCACTAGTGACCAAAAAAGAACAGATACGCTCTGGCAATCAAACATGGTTTGCTGGAAAATCCCCAATTTACTCTGATGATTTTCTCACTAAAACACCGTCCTCGGTGAGGATTTTCCAAACCATGTTTGATTACCGGAGGGTACACTGTCCAATCCTCTGGGGAATATTTCCTGGTAATCAAACTTGGCACTGAAAAAACACCATTTTCAGATAACACAAAACGATGTTCTACATTTGTATGCACCATGATATGATACAGTACAAAACATTATGTCAATCTGGAAATGTAGCAAATCCAAGCGTACACCAGTTTGCCACATTTAATCTGATATACAATGACATACCAAGCCAAACAACATGATATCATTCATAGATACTCAAAAAGCTGGTACAGAACGTGGTAAACCGATAATGATCCATACCACATTTATATAACCAATTTTACCGTTTGGAGATATCAACAAATACATCAAGAAATATGGGTTTTGTTGGGTTTACCACATCAAACTGTTCGATATGACATGATGATATATACCAAACACTGAATATGCAAATATTGCAACAATTGCACTTTCATGTTTAATGTCTCAAATCAAGCAAACTTTATGTTGTGGATCCAATTACAAAGTTCATCACCAAAATCAATTTCTTACTTATATACCCTTTACAAAATCTTTGAAATGGTGAAGGTTTGCAGTTAAATTGCTGAAAACATTGCTGCCAAATCGACCATTAAACCGGGCTGCTTCCAACACCCCAGTTGCAAGGACGAAAAGATTGGGCAACATTTCCAAGTTTCCCGTCTTGTGGCTATGTTGTACCTAAAATGGTTTGGAGCAACCCTGTAGATTGTTGGACTGTTATATATATCCCATCATCATCCCATTACCATCCAATGATTATATCATCCACCTATTCTCCCATGACTACTCCCATTATCCAATGAAAAATAGGCCGTGTCACATTATATCCCATAATATCATCATCATCATCATCATCATCCACATTAATCTTTCTGGTGCTAAACACAAAGAATGGGGGAATGGGATGATTAGTTCGAAAAAAACATGACAAAAAAAAACTACTGGGATCATTGCGAACATTCCCCCATTCCCTATATACTTACATTTAGCACCAGTAATTTTCATGATCATCCCATCAAGGTGGTGCCCCAGCTTGTTAGCTAACTTGGCTTATAACTACACTAGGGTTTGTAGGGGATATAGCTATACTTACTATGGTATCTATGGTTTCTAAAGCAACAAACATCACTTCAATAACTATGGCAATTATGGTACATTAATATCTAATATCTATGGATCTATGGTTTATGGTTTATAACTACACTATGGCTAATGGTTTATTTTCTATAGATATGGTTTAAAACCAACCATCTATTTATGGTTTTCCATTACTATATCTATGGCATCTATGGGGTTTATAAACCAACCATATCCAACCATCACTGGAGCACCACCATCCCATGTTCCCATCCCGCCTCATTCTCTGCCTCCACAGCCTGCTGCCGCTGCCGCGCCTGGCGCAGCTGCAGCCTGAAGAAGAGGCCGTGGGGAGATAACCGTGGAGCATGGACCAATCAGTAAAAACTGGGATAAGATTGGGATATCGTTGTGGGATATCATATCATATATCATATATCATATATCATATATTATATCATATCATATCATATTATATTATATTGTATTATATTATATTATATTATATTATATTATATTATTATAGTGTATTATACATGTATACATTATGTACATATATATATACATTATATATATATATAATTATATATAAAAATATGTTTATATGATATTATATATATATGTATATAACCAACTATGATTCATTTGGGTGTGTCTGAAATTGAGGTATACAAACGACTATTTTCTTTGTGGGGAAGATGGGGATTTAACCATCAAATGGTTGGAGACCCTGTTTTCAGACAAAACCATATGTTTGACTGATTCTACACGGGAAAACTGGAGTGAAACTTTGCTGTGCTTTTTTTTTCAGACTTTTGATGTGAACCTTACGTTGGCCAATGCAGATGGATAAAAGGGATCTCAAGCCCCATGCATCTTTGACTTGCAGTTTGTAAGGGATGTCTCCTGCTTTCAGCAGGACGTGATATCTATAAACATCTACAAATGAGGTTGGTTTTCCAACGATGCTGGCAAAAATGAATCAAAAATGAAACAAAAATGGACCCGAATCATCTGGACTCAAATCCGCCTGGATCAGCTTCAGGTGAGCCCCATTTCTGACATATTTGTTTCACCAGGCGCAGTTTGGCATTCTGCAAACGTTCAAATATCTTTGAAACAATCATTTCTGATCATGATAGACGTAAACCAACTGAATGTGATACATATGCGTTTGTATTTCAAGATTATTTATGTATATATACAGTATATATATACAGTGTATATATATACATATATATATATATACATATATATATATACATATATATATATACACATATACACGTATCCATTCTATACATATATCATATCATATATATAATATATATAAGCACACCATGTTATGTTGGAAAAGACTCCCCATCTTCCACTTCATCAATTCTCACGTCCACGCCAGGCCATTCCCTGCCATCCCATGTCACGGTTGATCACCCTCATCTTCCCCCTTTCAAAATGTTGGTGCTGAAGAAACATCTGCAAAGACATGGCTACGGATCAATACCTACATACCACATGTTGGCTTATTTTGATATATGTTTTGGGGGGATGAACATCCATGAATCGCCATTTTGATGTAGTTCCAGAAAAGAAATCCATGGATGGCCCGAACTGGCCCACACATCAAAACCCCCAAATCGGCCTCAGCAGCTCATTCTCCTGCCCCAAATCTTGCCTTGCTCGCCTGGAGGCCTTTGCTTCCTCCTCCAGCGCCAGCTTCAGCGATGTCTTCACTGCCTATTTTTCAACCGCCCCGTGCTGGCGGAGGTTAGGTCGATGTTTTTCAAGGCATAAAAAGGAATGAAAAAATAAAATGGAAACTTGCCAAAACCTGCTGGAAACTGAGGATGAACCACCAGTTGATAGGAGTTTGTAGCAGGGAAAATGGATCCAGGGGCCAATCAACAACAGCGGCTTAGATAAAGCAACAAAACTGTTTGTGCAACCAACAAAACCGGGGGCATTCACCATAGAATGGTTGCAGTCACATAAACAAAAACATCATTAAAATGGCTCTGCAACAAACAGTCATGGAAAGAGGAATGAATGATGAAAATATCAGGAATGCGAACTTCACCAACAGCAATGAAGAAACCAACAAAATCGGGATTACCAAATCTACTGCCATCATTGGGAGAGTCATCCTCGGCTGCCAAATATTTTTGCTGAAACAAGTCCGCTGTGTTTAGGCATGGCTCAAAAACTGGGCTAGGAAATGCAGAAAACCATGCCTTTTAGCATCATTTTTAAAAAAATCAACCGTCGAGGCTCGCAGTTCTTGTGAGCTCCACCCATTGTGTGGGGCCAAGAGCGAGCGAGAATCATGCCAGAATTCCCTGGGTCAATGCAGGAACGAAAAAGCCATCAAAATTCTGCATCAAAAAAATCACCTTTTGCTGTCACCAAACTCAAATAACCACCTAGACATATTTGGATTTGTATGGATTTGTCCATTTGTCCACTATACATTTATGAATCATTTATGAAGCATCTGGCATGGTAGTGATGTGGGCGCCATCTTCATGGTCGCCGCAGCGTCAGGGTCTTGGTTGGGCTCAAGAGCTGCTCTGTTGTCCGTTGTCCCAAAGGTTGGGGGCCCATCTCCAATATTTACAACAAACTCTTTATAAAAGTGCTTGTAAAACAATCTAAATCTATGTACTTGTGCTTTATTCCCTATCTATAAATTGATGTGTTATCAATTCATTTATATACGTCTATCTCGTCATATATATATATATACCTTTCATATATACACACATACTGTGTGAATATGTATATGTATACATATGATAATACTGTATGTAGGTATGTAGGTATGTAGGCATGTATGTACTTATAAATATATATATATATGCATATATATATATATACACATGTAATTACATGTATATATTGTATATATGATACCCCCACCCTCCAAATGTTTATTTTTTTCCCCTTTCTTGTAGTCCTTGCAATACACATCTATACATTCCAACCAGCAACTGGCCCCATCTAAAGGGTCGTTGGGGGTCATTGTGCAGCTGTCATACACATGCGCAAAACACTATATATACAGTGTATATATATAGTTGACGTTCTGGTATGGTTGCATACTATCATCTCAATGTGTCTATTCTCATTGTCATAAATCATGATTGTGATTTGTGATTGTTATTGTTTGTTGTCACTGGATCTTCCTACTAGTTTCATTCTCAAGCCACTGTGCCCAGCTATTTCTGTATTTATGATTTGTCAAGAACTCTACTGATGACTCTACTTGCTCTTGCCAAAAGCAGTGATTCACCAAAAAATTTTCCGTCGGTCCGCAGAACAGCGACTTGGAGTTCAACTCATTACCTGGGAGACTACTGCAAAGAGAATTGCGCCTAGATAGTAACACATTTTTGACACCTGAAAAAATCGAAGTCTAACTCCCTGGATGTAAAAGCCTGCCTCACTTTGAATGATGTACTGTACCAAGTATTGCCTTTCCAGATCCATCCAATCCGGGAGATCATCGGGTCCATCGATGTTCTCGAAATTCCACGAGTTCACCAGCGGTGACACCCGGCTGGCCTTTTCCGTCACCGCCGCCGCCCTCATCAAGGTGTAGAGGAAAAAACAGTTGGGCGGAAGGCACCAAAGGTTTTGGAGAATAAAATCAAAGCCACCTTCAACATCTGGGCGTAGCAAACTCGATTCGATCAAGTAAAGAATTGAAGCACCACATGCACATCCCAGTGGCAGGAGGGATGTGCTCAATTTGGCCGAGATATGTCGTAGCATGGGCTGAAGCACATTCCAATCGGCCAGGGCTTCCTTCACATCCATGACTCTGAAAAAATTGACCGAAAAGCTATCAATTGCCAGCTCGAGTCCGGATAGGACATGGAGCTCAAGGTAGGCCACGGCCATGAAACCCCCAGAGGCCACACAAAAGGAAATACTAAGAAGCAAGTCATGTGCTGAAGGGTTGATCTGTGAGAAGATCAAACACCGCAAGACCCACATCAACAGTAAACAACTGCAGGCCTCCATCAACCGCCTGCGTGATTTCTTCCTCCATTCCTGGATGAAGCCCGCATTCCAGGCGTAAAAGTCCAAGCCGTGCCCTGGGTCACTTAGGAAATCCTCTACATCGCCCAGCAACCAAATACTCACTGCCACAGAAGCCAGGAAACAAATGGTGGTCACCATGACATCTGCCTCCACAAACCCACCGGTACTGAACCAGATCAGGACACTTGCAGCTGCAAAACACATGACCTTAGGCACATCCACTTGGGTTGGAGCACGAACCAAGATTCACGATTGAACATGAAGTAGGAAACTCACCAACCATGTGACATGACCAGTATTCACTCACAAAATTGGTGGAGATGACGTCACAAAAAATTAAAGGACCGGATAACCCCACATGTCCACTTCTTCCAACAAACTCAAAACAGGTGTGAAAATGGGATGGGAAAGGCGTGAAAGATATAGGAGGTGGTGGAAGACAGACTATGTGAAAGATTGCGCGTGTGTGTGATAGAGCTGTGGGTGATAGAGCTGTGTGTGAAAGAGTTGCGTGAAAGTGCTGCGTGTGACAAGGAAAGGTTGTGTGTGTGACAATGTTGTATGTGAAAGAATCGTGTGTGAAAGAGTTTATGTGTGAAAGGTTGTGTGTAAAAGGGTGTGTGTGTGTGTGAAAAAGTTCGTGCGTTCAAGTTTGTGCGTGAAAGAGATGTGTGTGTGTGTGACAAAGTTGCGTGTGAAAGAGCTCTGTGGTGAAGTTTGTGTGAAATAGTTGTGTGTGTGAAAGCGTTGTGTGTGTGTGTGTGGAAGTTTGTGTGTTCAAATTTGTGTGTGAAGGAGTGCGTGTGTGTGCGTGTGTGTGCGTGTGTCTGACGAAGATTGTGTGTGAAAGAATGTGGGTGTGTGACAAAGTTGTGTGTGACAAAGTTGTGTGTGACAGATGTGTGCGTGTGTGACAAAGCTGTGTGTGAAAGATAGTCTGTGACAAAGTTGCCTGTGAAAGATTGTGTGAGAGGTTGTGTGTGATCGATTGTGTGTGATCGATTGTGTGTGTGATCGATGGTGTGTGCGAAAGATTGCGTGTCACAAAGTTGTGTGAAAGATTGTGTGTGACAAAGTTGCGCGGTGAAAGATTGTGTGTGACCAAGTTATGTGTGAAAGATTGTGCGTGTGTGTGTGTGTGACGAAGTTGTGCTTGAAAGATTGTGTGTGTGTGATAGATAGTGTGTGACAAAGTTGTGTGTGAAAGATTGTGTGTGTGACACAGTTTCGCGGTGAAAGATTGTGCGTGACAAAGTTATGTGTGAAAGATTGCGTGTGTGTGTGTGACAAAGTTGTGCTTGAAAGATTGTGCGTGTGTGATAGATAGTGTGTGACAAAGCTGTGTGTGACAGATTGTATGTGACAAAGTTGTGTGTGAAAGATTAGTGTGTGACAAAGTTGTCTGTGTGAAAGGGTTGTGTGTGAAAGATTGTGTGTGACAAACTTGCGTGTGCTAGATAGTGTGTGACAAAGTTGTGTGTGAAAGATTGTGTGTGACAAAGTTGCGTAGTGAAAGATTGTGTGTGTGTGACAAAGTTATGTGTGAAAGATTGTGTGTGTGTGACAAAGTTGTGTGGTGAAACATTGTGTTTGATAGATAGTGTGTGACAAAGTTGTGTGTGTGAAGGATTGTATGTGACAAAGTTGGGTGTGAAAGATTAGTGTGTGACAAAGTTGTCTGCGTGAAAGAGTTGTGTGTGAAAGATAGTCTGTGACAAAGGTGTGTGTGTGTGAAAGTTTGTCTGTGACAAAGTTGTGTGTGAAAAATCGTGTGTGACAAAGTTGTGTGTGCCAGATAGTGTGTGACAAGTGGTGTGTGACACATTTGTGTGTCAAAGAATAGTGTGTGACAAAGTTGTGTGTGCTAGATAGTGTATGACAAAGTTGTGTGTGAAAGATTGTGTGTGTGTGACACAGTTGTGTAAAAGATTAGTGTGTGACAAAGTTGTGTGTGAAAGATAGTCTTTGACAAAGTCACGCCTGCCACGCAAAACGAAAGTCGATGTAAGCAAGTGCCACGAATGCCACGCAATTGGAGCATATATGTCGCCAAGTGCCACACTTGCCACGCAAAGTGTCACGGACAAAGATGTGTGTGAAAAAGATTGTGTGTGACAAAGTTGTGTGTGTGACAAAGTTGTATGTTAAAGATTGTGTGTGTGACAAAGTTGTGTATGAAAGATTTGTGTGTGAAAGATTGTGTGATATAAAGCTGTGTGACAAAGATTGTGTGTGAAAGATCGTGTGTGTGTGTGACAAAGATTGTGTGTGTGACGAAGATTGTGTGTGAGAGATAGTGTGTGAAAGATGATATAAAGTTGTATGTGACAAACATTGTGTGTGAAAGATTGTGTGTGTGAACCATCTGAAAAGATGTAAAACTTCTACGGTTTTTCTCTTGTTGACGCTGATTTCAAACTTCCAATTTTCCATTACGATTCAAGCAGGGGGCTGCAGGGAATGTCATAGTTCTGCAGCCAACGAAGACGGCTATGACATTCTGTGATATCGATCCGGGACGCTGGATCGACGTACCTGCTTCAATTTCAGTTCATGTCAAGTTTCTGAGATGGGATGTGGTTAACCCAAGAACCACCTTGCCGATTTCTTTTTCAAACCATGTCAAAACAAAACGCTCTTTTTTCGTTTCCTGTCATTTCAGTGCCTGTACGGTTTTCGCAATCTGAATTTCTGCCGACTATTTCAGATGGAACAGTTGCCTCTAGCAGTGACGAAACAGGGATTACTTTTCGATCTTTCTCGGGTCGTGTCATCAATTCTCTCCTGTCAGGTTTAACTGGAGTGTTTTTTGCACGTAAGATGCATTCCACATCAGAATTCGCAATGACTGTTCTGAGCAAGTGTGTGATTCATGCTGGATTCGTCAAGGTGGCATGAACCCTTCGGGGAATGCTTGTCTAAGCACAGGTGGATGCAACGACCTGATGTCTGAATTTACACTTTTGAATTAGTAATTCGTTTAAGTAAAGTGAAACAGCTGGCCATTTTTCCTGGTCTCACCTGCCGATGTCGATGTGTTGAACAACTGGCCGCCGTGTGGCTTCAATCTTTTTTCAGTGACACTGTCTGACTGTCAAGGGTTGTTGGCTGTCAGCCGTGACAACCTTCCTTTTCAACGTTGCCCAAGAGAGTACGGAGCTCGACAACTTGACTTCATGTCACATGATCAGGACAGGCGTTAGGACATGCTTGCAGGTATGGTGACTCTTCTTTTTTGGTCGTTGGTGAGGTTCAATTGTGCACGTAATTCAGGGGTTGACGACGTAAGCTGTCTATGGGGTTGACTTGAATACGAGGGCCTTGAGCCTGATCACGAATCTTGCATAACATGTGGATGCATCCTTTCACTAACTAGTTCCCCATGGGTCCCCTATTTCATGTGTTCTCCCCTCTACAGGCAGGTTGGGTCCTTCGCGTGCCGAGGTGGGCGTAGGTTTTTTCCGTGTTAGGTTGGTTCAGGCGCTTCCGTCCTCCCCCCCTCCGCTGGTCTTGTGTTCGTCGGCCTTCGCTTTTCTTTCCCCTTGCCTTTCCAGGGTTTGCCCGCTTTGGGCTAGGTTTCATGTGTTGGTGTTTTCTCCTTCCTTCTTCTTTTGCGTTCCCCTCTTCGCGTCCTGGTTAAGTAACTTTCATCTCATTTTCACCTTCACCTCATTTTCACTTCCCTTCTTCTTCATTTTCATTTCATTGTCCGGACCTTAATTTTTCCACCCTCCTGCGGGAGGGTGTGTGTGTGTGTTTGTGAACCATCTGAAAAGATGTAAAACTTCTACGGTTTTTCTCTTGTTGACGCTGATTTCAAACTTCCAATTTTCCATTATGTTTCAAGCAGGGGGCTGCACGGAATGTCATAGTTCTGCAGCCAACGAAGACGGCTATGACATTCTGTGATATCGATCCGGGACGCTGGATCGACGTACCTGCTTCAATTTCAGTTCATGTCAAGTTTCTGAGATGGGATGTGGTTAACCCAAGAACCACCTTGCCGATTTCTTTTTCAAACCATGTCAAAACAAAACGCTCTTTTTTCGTTTCCTGTCATTTCAGTGCCTGTACGGTTTTCGCAATCTGAATTTCTGCCGACTATTTCAGATGGAACAGTTGCCTCTAGCAGTGACGAAACAGGGATTACTTTTCGATCTTTCTCGGGTCGTGTCATCAATTCTCTCCTGTCAGGTTTAACTGGAGTGTTTTTTGCACGTAAGATGCATTCCACATCAGAATTCGCAATGACTGTTCTGAGCAAGTGTGTGAAAGAGTGTGTGTGAGAGATAGTGTGTGAGAGATGGTGTGTGAAAGATTGTGTGAGACAAAGGTTCTGTGTGAAAAATTAAGTGAAATGTGTCATAATTGCGTGTGACAGATTGTGTGTGTGAAAGGTGGTGTGTGAGTTGTGTGTGAGATGACGGAGGCGGAGGAGCGGAGGGCGGAGCGGACGGCGGGATACAGAACCAAAAACAAGAACCCCACACAAAGATGTGGGAACCATATTCATTGGATTCTTGCATCCATTGCCCCGAACACCACAAGTAATCTGCCAAATGAGCTAGTTTACTGCGCCCCTCTTGGCTCACCTTTGAGGACTCACCTTTTCCCCAGTTTTTATTCTTGGCTTTCAGAAGTCAACCCCAAATGGGGAGTTCCAAGTGACCACCAACCACCAGACCCAAAGCCAAGACCACCGCCAGCGCAGAATGCCTGCCAGGGCAAGCCAGCAGCCTGCTATGGGTGGCAAGCCACCTCGACTATCCACGTCGATCTCTTCATGTGCTCCGAAAGAGCGTCCAGCCGTGACATGGGCATCGTGGTTCGTTCGCAGTTCATCCAAAGAAAGCTTCTGAGTTTTTTCCAGCACGGCCGCTTTATTGGAGTGCTTAGATCTGCTGCGCTCCTCTGAGACAGTGGTTGGTCCTGCAGGGCTGAGCCAATGAAACTGAAGTCAACGGAAAATCTAAGACGGTTGTCTTTCCTACCAAATATCGGGGGTCGTCTGTAAATTTTGAACCAATCCAACAACCTCGAGCCCTTGTCGAGCCCTTGTCCTGACTGCTCTGTATTTGGATCATCGAAGTCTCGAAGGGATGCAGTTCGACCTCGTAACAGCTGCCGGGCCACCATTCCTGACGAAGAGGAAGCAATTGGGGCAGCAGATGGTTTCCAGATGGTTTCCAGAACATGTTGTGAATCCATGCACAATATATAAAGGAACTAAAGGAACTCAAAATAGTTTATCTTAGCTGTGTGAACTCTAGTCATTCCCGATTGTTTTTGTATTTCGAACCTCTACTCGAAGAATGTTGCCAAGCACTCGACCACTTCTGCGCCTGCGTTTCCTTTGGCTCTCTATGCATAATAACCAATGATGTGGTAAACACAACAATAAAACCCATGCCTATTGTCAATTTCACTTCGTCGACATTTATAAATAAAAACCAGTGGCATCTGCCATTAAAAAAATCCAGCGTATTCAGTTTATTCCTTGGGTTTCCCCGACGGAATCTCCTGACAATTCCTCCACGGTGGCCACGCGCTTCTCCTTGCCCTCCTGTTGTGGCGACCGGGGCGACCGGGGCGACCGGGGCGACCGGGACGTCGAACCCCTGCGCCGCACCGAGGTGACGGAGGCTATGGAATAGCCCGAGGCCTCTGAGTCCTCCAAGGGACTCCAAGGGACTCCAAGGGACTCCAAGGACTTCAAATGGATGGATTTAACGGGAAATCGCATGAAACTCATGGAACTCACGAGATCATTGCTTCAACTCATCTGCATTTCCCAGAATATAGAGGGTGGTCATGCAAATTGTCCGTTCATCCAGTTGTTTGCCGATTTTATGGCACTCATTCTTGCGATCAGATGAAACCCCCTAATCTGGGACCCAAAAATCCAATGCTAAGCCAGGGCTTCTTGAAATATGGGACAGCAGTAGTATAATTATATATATAGTCGCCTGAAATGGCCTGAATAACTGTTTGGCCAACTGATTTCAAATTTCTATGATCATGCACCGGCCTGAACCCCTGTCCTCCTCTTTCAATTCCCCTGGCAGCACTGCCAACTTTTGTGGGGGCTGTGGAGGCAGTGGAATGTCTATGTGTTCCGCCTCCTCCTCCGTGCGCACCTTTTTCTTCAAAATCGGCGCGGGCCGGAAGCCGACCAAAGACCCTGGGTGCTCCAGCGGCTGAACCTCCACCATAGTGGTCCTGTTTGAACCCATCTGGACATGCAATTCATGTAGTAGGGACATCTGAGATGACATCGAGCACTGGAGTTGCAATAAGATTTGCTCCAGGCCAAGCATCTTGTCAAATGCCTGCAGGTCAAGCTTCTCCAGCTTGCTTTCGAGCCTGGTGAGGTTTTCTGAGAGGCTCTCCATGCTATTGAGAGCACCACCCGGTGCCGGGGTCACTTCCGGGCTTGAGCCCGGCCAGAAATCATGGACTGCTGTTCAGCAACCTAATCTTAGATACTCCACCAACAAAAAGTATCAAAGAGTGGGATATGAATGGTACAAATTCCTCCATCACAACGGACAAAAGTGACATGTCATCAGATCTATTCCTCTGCAAAATGCCTAAAATACAACTCATCCTCCACCTTGCTCAGCTCACCAAATTTACAGGTCCAGCTGTATTTCAAAGACACGCCTCATTCACTTGCTCCTCAAAAGAGCCGTGCAGTCTTCCACCGCAACGCTGACAAAGCTCCTGAGGGGATCCATCGGCTAAGGAAGACCTCAATTGCCGAAACAGAACATGGGGCCTGAACCTCAAAATCTGTAACAAAAATTCTATGGTTTAGCATGGTTTAGCAACATGTTTTCCATGAAATTGACAGTCTTGGGTATTCCTCATTTTGAGACCAAACCGACACCCCATTTAAAAAAAAACGCTGCGGTGCTCCTGTGCCCTGGCGTCCTGGAGTTGTTCCAGCTCCAAGCGCCTGGAACAGGACAATTTCCCTTTTGGGGTTGTATCTGTATTTCGAAAATTGTCATTTTTGCGAATTGCAATTTTGGGCATACAGTAATATTACGGTATCTCCAATGGACAAAACTGAACCCACTTTCATGCTGGTTTTTGTGTGCAGGTACTCACAAGATTGGACGCTTTTCAAGACCCCCAAGACAACATGTGAAGATGTGATACATTGTCTCTCTGCAAGTGTCAACATTTGAAGAAGAGTTGTTTTCATACCATTGTTTCAAATCTTTCAAACTCAACCCCCTAAACTTTACGTATAATTTTCAAGGTTTTGCCCATGAAATGTGTAGTGTGCCAGGAATAGCTAAAACTGGATTGCTTGGGGACTTGTGGTCATTTTTTTTTTCCAAAACTAGAGGATCAACTCCTCCATCCAAACTCTTGGGTCAAGTTGGAATCCCAAAGAACACAACCTTGGAGCCTTGATGGCCCTGCTCAAGTGGTGGAATCATCTGAACTCCAATCTATTCCCAGTTGGGGGTTTTCGTGTATTGGGTATATACATGGTATATACGGTATATATGTTACGTGTCGTTACACCTTTAGTCATCAGATGTCGTGTATTGGGACGATTTTTTCTCGCCCCCATGGTGAATGGTTCACCGCGACCAAGGCTCAGCTCCAACTCTTTCTCTGCGCAAAAGGCGGAGTGCTGGGCGAGGGCCAAACGCAGCTCCTGGCAATTCCTTTGGGTTTGAAGGTTCCTTAAATTTGGCGACCTGGGGAAAAGTCTAGCAAGTCTAGTTGCACTGGTGAAATTAGAATATGTGTCAAATCTGCACTTAGATGTGTTTCACCCTTTCTGTATCAACATAAAATGCGCATATTATAAGCATTTGCTCCATCTCGTAAACCTTTAATTCACCATTGAATTTGTCTTTGAAAAGGTCCGAAAATTGAAAGTGCTTGATAAAAATCAGTTTTCCTCATCAAAATTGCCAAGAGATGAAGATCAATTGGGGCTATATGGGGCTATGCTATCCCAACCGTTAAGGCAGTCCTCCCGTTCCTCGCGCGCTCGGCTCAGCGCTTGGATCAACTCCGTGCTGGCTTCCAGCTCCGGACGGAGCGCTTCACCACCGCGCAGCTCGGCTTCGCCCCTGCAACGGCATCAAAACGCTGAGACAAATCCTGCATACATATCTGCATATATCATTCATATATATATATATATCATATATATATATATCATATATATATCATATATATATATCATATATATATATCATATATATATATATCATATATATATATATCATATATATATATATCATATATATATATATCATATAGATGAATGTATGAATGAATATCATGAGTTATCATGATATAGCCATAGATATATAGACAATACAAACATCTGCATATATATATGTGCATAATTCTGCATATGTCTAAAGATGTATAGGCTATATATGTATTTACAATGTATATACATGTTCAAAGTTTAAACACATATAATATATATATATAATATGTATATATATATAATATGTATATATATATATACATATACGTAGTCCCAGAAAAAGATCGAATTTATATCACCATATCAAAAGTACGAAGGATTGCCTAGTCATTTCCTGATTCTCTCTGTCGAGACCCAGTGTGGTGAATATGTGTCGAAGGTTCGAAAAGGGTCCAACAAGCAAAATCCACCGCATGAGGAGAACCAAGCCAAACATATACAAGAATTGTGTCTTGATGAACTACTGTAACCAATGAAAAACAACCAGGTCCAACTACCCAGTACATGTACCAATCTCGAGTTTTTGAATTCATGGGGAAATTCAGACACACCAATTTTGGGATACTGGGAAACCAAATCCCCCAAAAAAAATGAAAACCCCAGGGTCTCAAAGGATTTTATTCCTCGCTGACCTTTCGCGAGTGACTAAGCTGTGTGATCTGTGCCCTTTGGGCAGCACAAAAATTCAAACATATCCGTTGCTATAGCTTCGGATACTTCAAGACTGTGAAGAGGAGATGGGAGGAGACGCGAATTTCCTCCAACATGGCTTGGCCTGACAAGCCTTCTCCATTTAATTCAAAGAGTCGGTCACCTTCAGAGATCGAGTCCTGCGGGTTGGCTTGATTCCACTCATTCACATGTCCCTTGTTGAAGACTTCGCGAACCACCAGCCCAAGTGAGTGTTTGTTGTAGTCCAACAACACCCCTAGCTCATCAGTCTTTGTGATTGATGCTTTGAATTTTCTGGGACGCAACAAACACAATTTTCGCATTTTATTGCCCCTTCTTTGGATGTGACGGAAAATTGCTGCAGTGCCCTGGGACGCATCGATGGCATGTATCCTGTCGAACTTGCGAAGGGCCTGTTCGGGGTTTCGTTCACCAAATTTGCGAATTGCTCCAGACTTGATCTCAAGAACCATGGGTCCATGGTCTCCGGCTGTATCCAATTCCAAACCCAGTGGCCCTGCCACTTCAATGCTGAAACTTCCAAAGTCCGCTGGCACTTTCTCAGTTTTTGGCGACTCAGTTTCCAGGGACGCGCTTGACATCCATGGCGCCACTTGAGGATTCAAAACTGGGAATGCAGTTGCTTCTGGAATCTCTCCGACATCTTCTGGGTTAGAGCAGCACCAAACCAGCATCGACACCACCCACCACACGCGATTCACAGCGCAAAAATGAAAATTAAAAGAGGTGGGCGCTGGCTGGCTCGAACACACCTTTGAGCCAGGATGGGCAGAGTGCATTTCGGCTGTCTCTTTGCCCTTTCTTGAGTGGTACCTGGAACACCGCTGGAATCATGAAATAGAAATCGACCTTTTGGAAAAGGTTTGTCTTTACCACTTCTTTGGACATGGGACATGGATCAAAATGTTCGTCCAACTGTCACATTTTCCCAAACGCGGCAGCGCAGGCACCTTAATTCCTCCGCCAAATGCTGAAGTTCCAGACCCAGCGGCACTGCACGGAGGCGTTCGGCCAAAGCACTTAGGCGTTCCACCACCGAAACCAAACCTGCACCATACGGCACAAGGGAAGGGCAACACAGAGCACACTGAACAAATGATGAACATCGGTTGACTTTGGAACAACGTTCCTTTGGACTGATGAATTGCAACTTCAAACGCAACAAGGGCATATTTTATGTATTAGTGAAGTATTGTTTTGTTCACGCATATCATGCATCATGGTCTCACAAACAAGGATGTTTTTGCCAAATAAAATGATGGCATCAAAAATCAAAATTTTGAATTTCCAGATGTTCAGCACATAATTTTGTTGTCTAACCTCAAGATGTGTTTCAGAAAAAAACATATGGCAATTCCCTTCGGAAGGCAGCAACATTTTGTCATTTCGAATGGTCAAATACCCACCCATTCCATTTCAAGAGATGTGTGTTTTTTTTACCTTCCCATCACTTCGTACTAGCTACATCTGGACAATGCAAAACGAAACAATGCAAAGGTTTTGTGCAAGAAAACCATCAATTATTGTATCAATGCAAGCATCAATTTTGGGCAAGGGAATTCGAACCATCATCACAAGTCCAGTTGCTACCATATGCGTTCCATCAAACAAGATTAACAAATTGACCGCATCCCGCAAGCCTCTGCTCGCAACGCTGTCCATCTTTGATCAATGCCATCGTGAAGGAAAGCACTTAAGTTGTTTTTAGTTAAATCATGTACCACCCATGGAAATTAATACCAAACTTTGTTTTGGAAGACAATTTGTTTGGGGATTATCATGTCAAGCATGGGGTTTTGTGAACCTTTTCTTTGAAACATGCATGTCCCAACCCATTATGGTTGTCGATACGAAATTTGAATGCGCAATATTATGTCAAAAAACCATTGGTGAATCGAATCTCTAAATGATTGGTTCACATGTGTTCCAAAGATTCTATGCGTGCGCAAAACCAAAGTTTGAATCAAAAAACCGTCATTCACAGCAGAACCCGTATGTTTGAACCACATCTGTGGCGGATAAAGGATGTGGCAAATTTCGAAAAATGTGCTGGTCGCTGTGGGTAGCAAATTCGGTCAATCCGGTCCTGATGCCCATGCGGCATCTGAAAAATATGCATACATTATTCGTTGAACCACTTTCACTGCAGCATGCAAGCATTGTTTTCAAGCTGGGAAATGACTCGCAGCCCTCTTGGCTGGGGGTCGGCCACTATGAACTGTTTGAAGTCAAAAAGGTGGTTGTAGGGGTGCTTGGTGGGTCGAAAGGAACAAAAGCGTGGGGCAACCCTCCCGCCCACCACTCGCACCGAAAGTTGACAAACCGGGCGCTTTGTCTTCAATTTCAGAAAAGCAACGTGAAATGTCACTTCAGCTTATTCAATATTCATTGAACCACTTGGCAAGAGATCAAAAACGACAGAAAAAAACATTTTTTTTTGCGCATGTTTCATGACCTGCTGGAAAAGAATATTCCTAGAGAGGTTGGTGCGTTGAGTTCGGAAAATGTGGTTGTTTTCACTGATGCATGCTACGAACGTGACCATCCAACATGGCCTTGCGGGCTAGGCGGAGTTGTTTTTGCTTGTGGCAGGGGTTTTTTCTTTTCTCTGGCAGCTGATGAAAAGTTGAGAACTTTACTTGGAGAAAAAACATTATTGTTTCAGGTCAGTTACGACGCGCCGCGCAAAGAGACCCTCAAACATAAATCAAGAACACTTGACCAACAAACGCAACACCGTCAACAAAAAACAAGCGTCGTCGTCGTTGAAATCGTAACACGCCGTCGCCGAAAACGTGAAAGCACATCAGGTGGTCAGTCAAAACATTGACAACGAACGTCCAGACAAAATCAACTGATCAAAAAATGGTTTCACCCGCACTGTGCCCAGATTATTTTTGTCGCGCTGCGGGGAAAGTTCGACTGCTGCCCAACACAAACGGTTTAATTAAGAAAACACAAGGTCGTACAAACCTAGAGGAAACCGGGTGGGATGAAGACGGGCGGGTATTTTGGTTTCCCATAAGAATTTTTGACCCACCCACCCACACTTTGAAAGGAGATGTTGCAGACACAACATAGAATTGGTGTGATGCTCACAAAATAAACCGTGAGAAGTAAATAAATGGACAACAGTCATCACTAAATTTGTGGAAAATTTGTTTGTTTCCAAAGCGGAAATCACTAACTTATTTCCGCATCACCAAGATTAAAGTTTGAGGTTTGTAAAACCAAATTGTTGATCAGTCAGTTGTAAGTTGAGACCGATCTTGACAGTTTAAAAAAGAAACAGATTTGTTTTATGTTTGCTGACCCTTACCAATAAGGCTATCATCTTTTTCAAGGAGTGCCAGCAGAAGCAGATCATCTTTGAAGTTGAAGCCGTAGCAGCACTCCTTTCAGCGATGTTGTGGCAAATTTTGTACAGCAACAAGCGTACGATTTTTTTTGTAGACAACGAGGGAACGAAGCTTTCCTTGCTCAGAGGACTCTCTGATATGTTTGTTTTCTCCGGTTTGGCCGCTAGTGCTCTGTGGCACGCTCTTTTGCCTGTGAAACCATAGAATGCAAGATCACGCAGATCCGAAAACGCATTAATTGAATTAATTGAATTCTGCAAAAACATGCACGCGAATTTCCACCCCAGACAACTTATTGATGAAAGACAGCGAGGGGCCAACCAGCAGCCTCGGAGTGTGGCCGATTAAGCTCAGTGGTTCGGTCCTTTGTACTGATGCAATAAAAGTGAAAGCATTGGAAACGAATTGAAAAATAAGATACTGCACAGCCGTGTCGAAAGAGCATACTGAAAGCACATCAACAAAAAGCAACCAAAGAACACACTTGAGGCCCAGGGGGGGTGAACGAAAGCTAAATGGCAAATAACTGTGGAACTAGGTGAGGTGAACTCGGAAATATGCAAAGAAGGGTAGACGAGAGTGATCCACATGGAAGGATGCAAGGGGGTGTTGCAGAACAAGTGTAAGTTTCAAGTTGCAGTCCTATAACATGTGAAACATGGGTACTGGAAAAAGTTAGAAGGCACTTTCGCTAGAAAGTTTGCAACATGTGGACCAAAGAAGATGGTGACTCTATATAAAGTTTGGGCCCCATCGAAAATATTAATTTTCCATGGGGCTCAAATCGACACAGTGTTGACCTGAGTTAGAAAGAACGCTATGGAGCCTAAATTCTGGTGAGGCATCTTGCGCATGCGAACAACATGTAGGCGGCCGTTGCAAGTCGGAAAACATCAGAGCCAAAGAAGATGGCGCCGCTAGAAAGTTTGGAACATGTGCAGCAAAGAAGATGGTGACTCTATTAAGAACTTTGGGCCCCATTGAAAATTTCAAATCGAGACAGTGTTGACCTGAGGTAGAAAGAACGTTAAAGAGTCTAAATTCTGGTGAGGCATCGTGCGCATGCGAACAACATGTAGGCGGCCGTTGCAAGTCGGAAAACAGCAGAACCAAAGAAGATGGTGCGTCCAGAAAGTTTGCAACGGGGGGACCAAAGAACATGGTGATTCTATTATAAAGTTTGGGCCCCATCGAAAATTATAATTTTCTATGGGGCTCAAATCGACACAGTGTTGATTTGAGGTAGAAAGAACGCTATGGAACCTAAATTCTGGTGAGGCGTCTTGTGCACGCGAAGAACAGGTAGGCGGTTGTTGCAAGTGGGAAAACAGCAGAAGCAAAGAAGATGGTGTCTCTAGAAAGTTTGGAACATTTGGACCAAAGAAGATGGTGACTCAATTAAAAAGTTTGGGCCCCGTCGAAAATTATAATTTTCCATGCGGCTCAAATCGACACAATGTTGATCTGAGTTAGAAAGAGCGCTATGGAGCTTAAGTTCTGGTGAGGCATCTGGCGCATGCGAACAACACGTAGGCGGTTGCTGCAAGTCGGAAAACATCAGAACCAAACAAGATGGTGCAACTAGAAAGTTTGGAACATGTGGACCAAAGAAGATGGTGACTCTATAAAGTTTGGGCCCCATCGAAAATGTTAATTTTCCATGGGGCTCAAATCGACACAGTGTTGATTTGAGGCAGAAAGAACGCTATGGAGCTTAAATTCTGGTGAGGCATCTTGCGCATGCGAACAACATGTAGGCGGCCGTTGCAAGTCGGAAAACAGCAGAACTAAAGAAGATAGTTCCTCCAGAAAGTTTGGAACATGTGAACCAAAGAAGATGGTGACTCTATAAAGTTTGGGCCCCATCGAAGATATTCGAAAATTATAATTTTCCATGGGGCTCAAATCGACACAGTTTTGACCCGAATGAAAAAGAAGGATATGGAGGAGACTGTTTTGGTGAGGCATCTTTGTATCCGGACAACATGTACGCTTCTGTGGAGGTAGTGAAACATCGAAATGAAAGAAGATGGTGTCTTTAGAAGATTTGGGCCCCAGCCAAAACTATAATTCTTCATGGGACTTAAATTGGTTGACCTAAAGCAGAAAGAACTCGATGGATGCTGTTTGTGCCCTGCATCACATCTCAACAAGCGGCTTGCTTGCATTGGGCTACATAGTTATGTATATAAATATATATACATATATATATTTACATATGTTATATATATATACTGTATATATATGTATACTGTATATACATGACTATGCATGTATATATATACACAACAATGTATATATACAATTATGTATTGTATATATATATGTGCACTTAAAAATATATACTCAACCAAATCTAATGAGAGAGGATGACTGTACAGATATGTTTGTTGACAACTTTCTTTTTATGGCAGAGCAGCTGCGGAATGTGTGGGCGATGGATGCTGTTTGTGCCCTGCATCTCATCTCAACAAGCGGCTTGCTTGCATTGGGCTACATAGTGATGTATATATATATATATACATATGTGTATTTATATATATATATATACTGTGTATGTATATACATGACTATGCATGTATATATATATACACAACTATGTATATATACAATTATCTATCGGCTGCAGGATGTGTTGGCGGACATCAAATGGACAGGGGAAAAAAATGGACGGCCCTGGCAGGATTCGAGCCCGTAACCATCTGCTTCCGAGACTGCTTCAAAATGCCCCGGGAACTTAGGGGGGGAGGGGAAAAAATGCCTAAAACAACAGTTCATAGAAGTTTTTTAATTTCAATCATAACAGTCTAAG